AAATACAAAATCATAACACTTCTAGAAAGATAACATAGGAGAAAATCTAGGTGCACCTGGGTTTGGCAAAGAACTTTTTAGGGATAACACCAAAAGCACAATTTATGAAAAAAAAAATTTGATATAATGGAATTTACTATAATTTGAAAACTTTTTTCTCTGTGAAAGACATTCTTAAGAGAATGAAAAGGCAAGACCTACTTACAAGAAAATGTAAAACACGTATCTAAAGGATAAGTATGCAAAATGTACAAAGGACCCTTAAAACTCAACAACAGGAAAACAAATGAACCTATGAAAAAGTGGGCAAATGAACTTAACATACCCCTCACCTAAAAAATTTATATGGATGAAAAATAAGCATATGTGAAAAGATAATTGGCATCATATGTTAGTAGGAAATGGCAAATTAACAAGACAACATCCCTACACACCTGTTAGAATGCCTAAAAGCCAAAATATTGACAAGACCAAATGTTCTAAAGGATATGGAGCAACAAAAACTTTTACATTGCTGGTAAATTACAAAAGGGTGTAATCACTTTAGAAGACAGTTCGGTAGTTTCTTACAAATTTAAACATAGTTTTACTATACTACTAAGCACAGTATTTGTAGCTATCTACTCCAATGAATTAAAAATGTATGTCAACACAAAACTTGCATATGAATATTTATATTTATATTAATAGCTGCTTCATTTAACATTGCCGAAAACTGTCAGAGCCAAGATGTCCTTCAATGGGTGAATGGGTAAACAAACTGTGGCATATCCATACAATGGAATATTATTCAGCAATAAAAAGAAAGGAGCTATCAAGCCATGAAAAAATGTGGAGGAAAACTAAATGCTTATTGCTAAGTAAAAAGGCTACTCTGAAAAGGTTACATACTCTACAATTCCAACCATCTGATGCTCTGGAAAAGGCAAAGCTTCAGAGAGGACTAACAGTTGAGTGGGTGTTAGGGACACCAGGGAGAGGGGACGGGTGAACAGATGGAGCACAGGGATGTTCGGGGCAGAGCCGCCATACTGTGTGATACTGTAATGGATGATACCTGTATTTCTCAAACCCCAAAGAGCTTTACAACACAAAGAGTGTATCCTAATGTAAACTGTGAACTTCAGTTAAAAAATAATGTATACATATAAAGTGACCAGTGGTAACAATATGCTACCTTAATGCAAGATAGTAATTATAGGAGAAACCTTGGTGGAGTGAGAGCGTATGTTGGAACTTTGTGCACTTTCTGCTTAATTTTTCTGTAAAACTCAAACCGCTCTAGAAAGTAGTCTATTTTTAATAAAATTGAAAATGAATAACTTGAGTCCTGAATTGATTGCTTAACTTCCTGAAGTTTATGTAGCAAGTTTTCAGAAGACTACAACCCTGTGTTCCTACCTACTCCATTAACTAAGGGCTAACAATGTTGCCCAGGGAAACTTTTACTAAATTAAGGTTAAAGAGCTTAATAGAGCTCCATCTCACTGCTTGTCCTCAATTGTTCTTGCTTTACATTTCTCTCTTGATTTTAGGACAAAGAATCACATTGTACTCCAATGACCCGTTCTCATATTTCTGAAGAATGGATCCTCGTTCGATAACGAGCTAAGCATACTGATTATTTCAACTCTAGAGCCCTCCATTTTCTGCACCAAAGTTCCTAGTGGACCAGAAGCACTTCCCAAGGGAAACACTCCTGTTACAGTGCTCACCTAAGTGACGTGAGCTATGCGCCAGTTCTGATCTCCATGCATTGCTGTATCTAATAGGCTTGTTCCTATTTTGATTCCACTGTCTGTGTTACCAAAGTGTCCTTAAAATGTATAACAACGTGTAAATTATTAGGATCCATTCAATTAATATTTGAGAAAAAAAATCCTCTCTTCATACAACACACACACACACACACAGACAGAGACAGAGACAGAAGGAAGGGAGGAGATACAGAATGTTGCTAGCTTGCCACTGTTGTATGAAATTTTCCTACTTCTAAATGCCTGCATACTGTGAGGGCTAGGAAGTTCTAAGTAGTAAAATTATATTTAGGGATACAAATAGTAGAGCAATAGAGAATCTCTTACTCTGCACAATGGACCCAAGGGGATGGAATGTAGGGATGGTTATTACAGGGGCTGTGTATGTGGATTCTCACAAGGAAAGTTAAAAGCACACTGGGTGGTGTCTGTTGCACAGTGGTACTGGAGATGTATCAGACCGACAGTTAGGTAAAGGGACATTGCAGGAGCATTAAGGACCCATGACATCATTTTGGATACCCCTTAAACTACAGGCTGGAGAAGCTCCTAGATTGTTTCCTCAGAGTGAATATGATACTCTTTGAAAGGGAAAGTTTCAATAGGGAAAGAGAACTTTAAATGATCCATAATGCAATGAAACAAACAAACAAAAAACCCAGATTTTTAACAACATACTATCATCAAGCAATTGAAATTTTAATTTAAAGAGAGTTGGTCATTTTATCAAAAAGACACCTCCACTCAAATGTTTATTGCAGCACAATTCACAATTGCAAAGATGTGGAATCAACCCAAATGCCCAGCAATTCATGAGTAGATTAATAAAGTGTGGTATATGTATATTACGGAGTACTTCTCAGCCATAAAAAGGATGAATTAATGCCTTTTGCAGCAATTTGGGAGGAACTGGAGACCATGATCTTAAGTGAAGTTTCTCAAGATGAAAAGACAAATACCACATGTGCTCTCTAATAAATTAGAACTCACCAATGGGCACACAAGTGCACAGAGGCAAGTCAAAGTTACTGGAAATCAAGCAGAGGGGAGGGATGAGACGAGGGGCAAAAACCCACCCAATGTGTACGATGAGCGCTATTCAGACGATGGACACATTTATAACCCTGATTCAAGCCATGTGACAAGAAAATTTGTACCCTGTAATATTTTGAAATAAAAAAATAAAAATAAATAAAAAGAGTTGTTTATAAAAATAAAATCTCAGAAAATCTGTACTATAATTGAATATTGTCAATTATCCTTCATGTCAAATTCATAAGTTAGGACACTGGAAAATATTCAAAGAGAATTTGCTGTGGAAAGAGTGTTTGAATTTAGAGATGTGGAAATAAGAAGATGGTCAGGAGTTTCTACCATGTTTTTGTTTGTGTTCACAATTAAACTTTATTGAAATTTTTAGAGAATAAAACTGTGAATGTTAAAATTCAAATCTATAACCACAAGACAAAACCTTAAAAGGAAGATATTTAAAATATGTTTATTTTTCTATTACTCTTCAATATTTATCTCACGCAAATTCTGAGATACAACAAATGTGTGACATTTGAGTAAATGAATAAAATCTATTCATGTTATATGTATGTGAAAGCTCATATAGAATGTCCTAATACATGATGGTAAATTTACTGAACAAACCTCCGTGTCACAGAGATTAGTTTCTGCGGTTCTATCCGTGGATGTAGATTGAAGAGGTGACATTTCCACTCCCTCAGCAGTGCGTGTGGGCTCACGTGGACATGTGCCCCAGTGGCTTGGGAGGAAGGAAAATGAGACGCCCTTCTGCCAAGAGAGCAGCAGAACATGCAAATACCCGAATCATAAATATTCTGATTTACCTTAAAAAACAGAGTAGTTTAGAGGCCAAAGCAAGACTAGCTAGCACATCATCTAGCTGACAAATTTGGAAAAATAATTGGCCAGTTAGAAGCAAAGATATTGTCAGCTTAGAAAACAAAATAGTTTTCATAGAGGTATCCCCTGTAAGCCCACTCTTGGGAAGATGTTGCTATTCAAAATCAGACACCAATATCACCTCTGCTTCAAGATCCATGCTGAGAACATAGTTGCAACTGATTTTCATAATATGATGTTATAAATCTTTACATCATGTCAAAATAACCTTTCTTGCTTAGAATTTTTACTCACCAAATTCATAATTTTTTGTCTTTCTGTGTATTTTATCTATAAGGAGAGACTGTATTACCAACGATAAGACCAAGATAGTTACCAGTTAATCATTCCAATTATTAATTTTAATTAATAAATTGACATATGTGTTTATGTAATTTTATTAAATGGAAGTCTCAGTATCATAAATCATGAATTCACTGGAATGCAGGGAGTTTACTTACAATATTTTTATGAGACAGGGAGCCAGATGGTGTTATTCCTGGTAACTCACCTAAATCACTATATCTCTAATTACTGCAGTTGCCATTGGATGTTTCTATATTTTATGGATTAGTTGGAATTAACAGGCCATTGTAGACAATGAAATGGAGAATTGTTCCAAAGAAATTGAACTCAAGTGTAACTTCATGAGTAAAATGCATTAATCAAATGAACTAACCATGGAATATATTTCAGAAAGTTCTAACAAAATCACTACACTATCAGATGCAGCATGCAAAGCCCAACCTATCAACCCTTCAAGTTCACTAATATAAAATCCCACATAGAGATTTGATCAGTAACACCTGCAGAGACCAAGCTGGAGAATATTAAATCTAATGTTACTCTCTAGATTACGTTTCCATGACACACTTGGAAAGTGTGTTTCATTTAATATTAATAATTCCCTCAAATATTTGCTCTTTCAAGAACTTATATTACTTTCATGGGTCTTATCAGACCATTCAGGGAGAAAAATATATTAAGATTAAAGATATGCTGAAAGTAATAGCATTTTCATAAATCTGATCTATAAATCTCATAAAAACCTGGAAAGTCGACCCTTGGTTTTTGCCATATCATTTATAGATAGCTTGTTATTTTAAATGAAAGTTTTAGAGTCTCATTAATGCTAGTTTTTTTAAATCAACAGTTCTGAGTAGCAAACATTCGTTCTTATAGATATCTTCATTAGTATCTAATATATCTCTGAAAATATTAAGGTTTTGTATTTTATGGAATTCATTTGTAAATTTTATACCTTAACATGTAAAAGGACAGTTGCATTTATAAGATATAACCATGTATTAGAAGAGAGAAATGGTGCCCAGCTGAGTTGGTTATTCATTTATTTTTGTTGTTCAACAATTGTGGTCTCAATTTGTTGATCTTTTCTCTACTGGCCAAAGTCCTTTGCTTTTTATCAAGACAAGTCACACCCATATTCTGTTTTCAACTCACCGGCAGGAGCACAACCCACGCCCATCGGTGCGTGCCCTAACCACGCTGGGCAGGGACACTGTGGCGGCACTCTGCCTGTGCTTCTCACAAGCCCCCTGTGACTGCGGGGCACATTCTTTGCCAGGCTTCCTACACAGGCCGGAGATGCAGAAGTGGCTGCGAGAGGCACGCTCCCTCCTCAGGAAGCTGAGAGTGCAGCGAGCGGCACAGGTCACACGTCGCAGAAGCAGGAGCAAAAGCAGAGCTTGCCAGAATAAAGTCACACACACCAAAAATAAAGTCAGGGCAAAATCGCTGGTTATATTCTGCCTAGAAATAAGCAAAAAACATTTTTAAATGCCTGTGTGAATTCATATTCTGAGATTAAAATACCCTTCATAGGATCACAAATATGCTTTCCAACTTAAAATGTAGGCAAGGCACAGAAAAGCAGACAAGCTTTCATAAAAACCAAATCAGTGAAATAACTGGCATTACCTCTGCAAAAAATAAAATGAAAACTGTAAAGAACAAAAATGAATCTTAGAAGATAATGAAGCTCTTCCTCGCATGTGACGAGAATCATCTGAGCAAAGAGCAGATGGTCAGAAGAAGACAAGCAAGGGAAGGCGCCCTCTCAAGGCGTGGGCTCCAGACTTGAACACTAACTTACCTGATGACCCCAAATTAATGAATAAACCCAAACTTACTGAATTTCTAGTTTACTGATATAAGTAAATCCCATACACACTTACACATAAATCAAGAAATACATTTTAAAAGTCAGAAGAGTTTTAGATTTTGACACAAAATGACTGAATAATAATGAAATAACATACACAGAGCTTTGTATAGAGTAGGTTATTGACAAATGCCCTATACAAAGCCAAGTTGCTGAGTACAGCTAAGAAAATTAAGAAAAACTATATATCAATGTTCTTAGGAAAAATTCTTCTTACATATGCACATCGATATCTAAAATTATAATGTAGCTGAGAGATGAATCAGGTACGAATCACAAATAGGGAAGACATGGGGAGACAGGAGTATCCATCACGGGACACAGCGAATAACAGAAGGCACCAAAATCCAAGCAAATACTTAATATGCTTTTATAACAATGTAAAAGTCAGAAATAACCTAATATTAATAAAATAATAATATATTTTTGCAGATACATAGTTTTATTTTTAAATATTTTCAGGGAATACATATTTTTTATTTCAGCATATTACAGGGTACAAATGTTTAGGTTACATTACTAGCAACTTTAAAATATATATTTGAAAACTAAATTATATTGTTAAAATAATTAGTTTTGTGGAAGAAAGAAAAGAGAAAGTAAAAGTGAATTAAAATGATTTTATATGTGTGAATTTAAAAGATGCTATTCTCTTCTACTTACTGGTAAGTAGGGAGAAATAGTTGAACATATGATTATAAACAAGCAGCAGAATAAAGCCATAACATGTTAGCAATATATTCAAATAATTGGAAAAGAAAAAGAAAAAAATACTAGTATGTCCTTCATCGTGGGAATGCTTGTCCAGGAGATGTCAAACAGTCTGTGGGTTAAGTGCGCAGGACATTCAAAGAGGAGGGTGCCTGCATCGGGTTTCCTTAGGCTGGCATCCTGGGCAGGCACCAGCAGAGTACAGGTATGTGATGTGTGCAGATCAACGTGCTGATTTAGAAGTTTTTGTAAAACTAGACCATGCACAGACATGTCCAACGGTACTGATAACAGACACAGACCTCAGACCTGGAAACAAGCACCACTGTGCCTCTCCCATGTGGTCCCGGGTGGTTTCTGAACAAAACCCTCTGTGTCTACATCTGACTTATCCTGAAGTTAACAAAAGACAGACTGTACAATCACTAAGGAGAAAGTAAAAGCAAATTAAAATGATTTTATATATGTGAATTTAAATATTCATATTGTTCAATCATTATGCATATGAGTTTGATTTCAGGGTACAATCAATTAAGACATTCATAATGAGTGAGATGTGCACCATCTGGGGGATGGTCATGCTGGAGACTCAGACTTGTGGGAGGAGGGGGGGAAAGGGCACTTATTGAAACCTTAAAATCTGTACCCCTATAATATACTGAAATTAAAAAAAGACATCTTCTACATCCAAGTATCTAAACAAGATATAATAAGAAAAAAAGATGAAAATGTAGGAAAAAAAGTGAAATGTAGGAAAATTTAAAAGAAATATAACAGTATCAGAATACATAAACTTAGCTATTATCAGAAAGCAGAATCTCTCCTGTAAGGCACATAGTCTCCATTGTGATGCACAAGTAATGTGAAAACATACAAATGTGTCGCATACAGCATTAAGGAAGAAAACATACATGAACAAAAAAGCAAGGTTACGAAAATTACACATACATTTGCCAGTAAAGAAGATATGTATAGGTCAGATGCAGTGGCTCATGCCTGTCTGTAATCCTAGCACCCTGGGAGGCTGAGGCAGGAGGATCGCCTGAGCCCAGAAGTTTAGGGTTGCTGTGAGCTATGATGATGCCACTGCACTCTAGCCAGGGTGCCACAGTAAGACTGTCTCAGGGAAAAAAAATTATGTATACATATATATACAAATATATATTTATAAATATATGAGAAGAGTTTATGACATATATGATTATATATAAATACCTATATGAATATACATATATTTTGTGTATGAAATATGATGAGCATATATGCAGTATATATAAATTTTGATGTTAGGTGACAAGATTAACTTGATGTTTATTTTCTTTCTTTTCCTTTGTATTCCCACTATGAATATTTTACTATTTGGTTAAAGAAAAATATGCCTGTTAACCACTTTGGTACGAGCATCGACTATAGTCTACAGCCACAGATGACCGCGCACAGCCGAGCATCGACTATAGTCGACAGCCAAAAGCTTTTACTTTTACAGCTTTTATTAGAATTAAATCTAATTTTTCATTTATCAAAATAAAATCGTGAACATTTAAAAATAACGTCATGAAAACATACATGTACATGTTACCTATTCTGATTGACATTACAAGTAAAGCTCCCTGTAAAGCAAAACAAGCTGTCAGTGCTTTCAGCTTCCCTCGTCACGCGAGAGCAGACGCCGGCCCTGCGCAGCGCCCCGCGCTTGGCGCCCCGCAGGCGAGCGCCGCACCCACGGGAAACAGTGGGTCTACGGCAACGAAAGCCCGGCTCCTGTTCTCCCGGTGAGATTCACTGACTTGTCATTCAAACTAGCACCTCACCGCCTCTGCTGGCGAGCTTAAGTCCTTTGCAGCCTTCCCACCCGCAGCCTTCCCGCAGCCGCCCCGCTCCCTCCGCGGCGCTCGCCCCGCAGCCGCCCCGCCGCCGCCCCGCAGCCGCCCCGCAGCCGCCCCGCAGCCGCCCCGCAGCCGCCCCGCAGCCGCCCCGCAGCCGCCCCGCAGCCGCCCCGCAGCCGCCCCGCAGCCGCCCCGCTCCCTCCGCGGCGCTCGCCCGCTCTGCAAACAGAGCCGGCACCGCGCGGCCTGGCGGCGCCGCGGAGTGTGTTTGCGCGTGTTGCGGGACGTGAGCGCAAGACGGCTCTTCACTGCGGCCCGAGTCCCGTCCCTAGAGGAGACAGGGCAGCCCTCCGTAGGCGCGCCCGCCGGGCACCACCGCCAGGCGCCCTTCCCGCACGGCGCCCTACGCGCCGCAGGTGCTGAGACGTGCGACGGCGCGTCCTCCCTCGGGTTCCCCAAGTGGCTGTGGCCGTCTGCTCCGCTCCCTGCCCAGCCCCACCCGGCGCGACAGGCCGAAGACAAGGGAGTGGGCTCGGACTGCGCAAAAGCCACCTGACGCCGGCAGGGCCTGGCTTCACAGCTGTGTGCGCGGACACCCTCCGCGCTGGCTTTAATTAGGAGAGCTTGTTAGAGCTCAGTTAGGGTTTTCCTGGGTATGGACCTGACGCGGGCCCAGCGGATTCCTGGCGCAGTGACAGACTCCGTGACACTGCGTCCCGCGCCCCGCGGCTCTGGGTTTCCGTGACCTCGAGCAGTACGTAGTCTAAGGTCAGGCTTCTCTCCAGCAGGAGACAGCGCTCCCGCCGCTGCGGGGCCCAGCAGCCAGGCGCCAGAGAGCTTCGGGACGGCTTCCGCAGGTGGGCGAGCCGCCGGATGGGGTGTGAAGATTAGTCTCTCATCAGCCCTGTGATTCCTGACAAGTTGCTCAAACATTTTGGGCTCCGTTTTCTCATGGATGAGATGCAGGTAGCGCTTGCAGCTGTCCCTGTGAACGCTCCGCGTCCCTTGGACGTTCCTTGGACAGCCCCGCGTCCCCTGGAGCAGTCTGCTCGCGCGTTGGTTCCTCGGGCTCCTGGGCGCTCAGGCAGCACAGGCTGAAAGCTCCCAAGAGTTAGTGCTCCAGGAACAGGTCCCCCAAATTAAAGATGTCTGCTCACAGGTGTCTGATGCCTCAGTTTACTTGCTGCTGCCAGCTCTGAGCCTGTTCCAGGCGGTCTCTCAGAGGCCCCCAGTAAAAGCAGACCCCAGCTATCCTCGCGGGCCCCACTCAGCACTGCTGGACTTGCTTCCCCATTTCTTCATAGTGCTCCCTGGACCCCTTGCGCATCACCGTACGCTTAAACCCTCGTCTCGGGCCTGTGCTGGGAACTGAGGGATCAAAACTAATATAGCACTGGAGGTAAAATATTGTCAATAATGACGAAATAAATAGAGCGTCCACACATGCGTGGCACAGAGCTTGAGGCAGAGCAGAGCTCTAACAGATACTGCTTCCTCTCACTCTTACCCACAGGCTTGCGTGTTGGACATTCCTCTTCTACTGCCAGTGTTAAGAAAAAGAAAGAAAGAACAAAAACAACCATGAAAAGACAAATGAGTCAAGGCATGGAGAGAAAAAGTGAGCTCTATTCCTCTTAAAGAAACTATAAACATGGCTTAGGTCTGTAGCCACAATTTGTTTTCCAAACCAGAAACCTACGGTTAGAACCACCACGTGCCTACCTTATCATAGGCAACACTGGAAAATGGAAGGGCTCACACGCAAAGGCCAAGCTTGCGAACCCAAGTGCACACTAATACAGGGACACAGATCCACCTCCCCATTTCCTCGTCCTTAACAAACTGTAGAAATGGAGCCATGTCTCTCATTGTCAGAGAAAGAGGCTGTAAATAGGCAAGAGGGAAGGCTAGAAAACATGCTGTCATGCTAGATTGTAGCAGGAGGTCTCGGTGGCTACTCGTATTTGTACATGTACTGAGCCATGTCACCGAGAAGGCCTCGGAGCAGTGACACCCAGTAGCAACAAGCATGACTGGTGCCCATATTTACT